AATGTCTCTATTGAAATTAAATGGTAGTAAAAATAAACAAAAATTGCTGACAAACATCAAACTTTCCAAGAAAAGTGGGAATTGGAGTATTTTTGCTGTGAAGTAAAAAATAATATAATCTGCTTGATATGTAGTAATGATATTAGTGTACCAAGCTTATACATTGAAAATTGAAGCTTTTTTTTTTTTTGCGGCCCACATAAACTTAAACCTTTTTTATTTGTCCTGTGTTAGCCTTTGAGTTTGACATGCTGAATCTATTATCTATCTATTTGGAACGGGATTCTGTTTTTCTGCAATGGTTCTCAAGGAAAACTCTACTATAAAATATTGTCATGTTTGCTTCAAAATTACACACAGAAGCTACAGCCTTGTCACTTCAAAAGATGACATCTCACCTTGGTAGCTCACCCTTCTCAGAGTTGTGTTTTCATCTCTAAAGGGAAATAGTTCTCAGGAAGAGAGAGACACAACATTAATGCTGATGGATTTTCAAGATGACAGCAAGACAAATAACAACCTCTGTTGAATAGCAGTGTCAAAGCATTTTTGAAATACTTGTTTTGTAGCTTTCCTTGTCAGTCCTGATCAACAGGTGCTTTGAAAAACTGAAGCAAGTATTAAAGAAAATTAAGAGCAAATATAAGGAACATATTTGCTTAGCTAATCATAATATTTCGAGTTAAATGTAGGATTTTGTTTTGACTCTGCATGCAGTTTTTTGAGGTTACCCTTTATGTATACCACACTTTAGAGACATGGTCTTACAATGCATATGACAATTCCATAAACAAGATTTAGGAGGATAGGATTTAAAAATAGGAATTTCAAAGCAAAAATTATTGACTGCATATTATGTCAGACTCTGTGCTAAGTGCTTGGTATATAATATCTCAAGCAAACTTAAGAACAATTCCAAGAGGCCAGTCCTACTATTCAACAGATATGGAAATAGTTTTAGGGGTCAGTAACTAATGTTGCACAGCTGCTCAATGAGGGAACTGGGGATGGAGCCTACAACTCAATGAATCCAGAACACAATAGCCAGGGTCTGTCCATTAGCCATTAAGTTGTTTGGGTGAGAAGTTTACAAATATTTTACCAATTACTTCTGGGAAAACAATTTTATTTTGTGTGTTTTATAATAGAAAAACTACTCAACACAACTAGATCTTGCAACATTGCCTACATTGTGTGAGAAAAAGCATACTTGTTTAAATTCAAGATTATGAAACATTTTTATATTTATAACATGAGATGTGTCAGGCTTAATCTAGCTTCAGTGTTAGAGTCTTACTGCAAAAAGACTCTGCAGCCCCCATACATTTCATTCCAAGCCAAGTATTCCTACAGTGGAGCTTGCCCCTCCCCCCCTCCGCAACCACCATTTAAATGCTCAGTCTAAAGCCAGAGAATGTCCTATTTTCAAACACATTTCTTATTTCTAGGGTCTCCAGTTTGTTTTTAGACTTTCTGTTACATCTTATTTAGTTTCTGAATACCATGGACTGTATGATTGTTCCCAAGCCTGTCAGTGCATGTCCTCTAGAAAGCAGACACCAAGCTATATAGGGTTAAAAGTGTGAGAGATTTATTGAGGAGGGTGTCTGGGATAGGGAGAATGCAGAAATAGGCAGAACAAGCCTCAGGCCACAATGCAGGGTTGACAGCTATAAAAGAAGAATGGGGTGGAAAATTGATTGGATAGGAAGATCCTCAAAGCAGACCAAGGTATAGTTTTGGGAAAGTCTCAGCCAGCCCCATAGGGGAACTTAGACACAAACATTGTCCATAGAGAACTCCCACACTGGGCAGAAAGAGCCAGGTCCCACAGCACAACATGCTCAGCTATTGGCTACTAGCCTTTCAGGGAGAGTGCCTTGACTAAGATACTGCACTAGATTTGAAGACTCTGGTGTTGGTGGCTGTCAGCTAACTCCTATCCTTAGAGAAGTTTCTCTCCTGATAGAAATCTGATGGTTGTCACAATTTACCTCAAGTTCAGCGACTGTACCTCTCTTACAGGTTGGGGAGCAGCTTGTCCTTGGTTCCCAAGAGACTCTTCCTGAGGGGAACCTACAAGGGGAGAGCTGGTGTGATAGACTATAGCTCTCATCACTACAATTTATGTGGGGGCTGTGGTTGATACTCTCATTCTTCTCTAACACCTCTACCGGCTCACTTGGTGGTGAGACTCATTCCTCTTTCATGAGAGGTTGGAACCCCTAGTAACTAAAACCTTCTCAGGCTAGGGTTGCTGCATATGATGTTTCAAAATCACAATGGGGCAAGAGGCTATCAAGAGGGGTTCCATACATATTTATCTCTGCCCCATCACGTGGCAGCAGCCCTGCCTCCTCCTGCTGACTGTGTCAATGATCTCTTCCACACGGAGACTCATCTTATTGCCTGCTGGCCACTATACAAAGGAAGTTCAAACTGCCCAGGAGGCAGCGATAGCTGGTTGTTCAATGGGACTCTTGCTGTATCTTCTAGAAAGTGTGTGATTCATTTGGAGACAAGGACCTCTAACCCTGTAGAGCTGAGACTTATGGGGACAAGAAGTACAAAGTCCCCTGATGAGTCATTGGTTGTCAGTTAACTTCATTCCTCACCTGCTATTCTGGTATTTGGTCTCCTACCTGTAAGAGGATCATGCAACCCCACATATTGTCATGTAACCTGCAGTGCTTTCCTGTTGTAGGAGAATATATCCCCACCCCATTGACATCAAGCTTAGAGGTAAGATTCCTTTTAGCCAATAAAATGTGAGTGAAAGAGATATTCGAAGTTTGAGCGGAAGCTTTAGGAGACACTGTGTAGTTCAGTGAGTCCTTTTCTCTCTCTGCCCCAGAAGCATATCCCATATGGCACATCCTGGCTCAGTTTCTCTGCATGGACTGAGGTCTGCTTTCTTTTACAGCATAGGTGGAGAAGGAGGACGAGGCCACGAAGGGAGCTACGCCGGCAAACACTTCCGCATGGGATTCATGACGATGCCTGCTCCTCAGGACCGACTTCCCCATCCTTGCTCCAGCGGCTTCTCCGTGAGGTCACAGTCCCTGCACTCGGTGGGGGGCACAGATGATGACCGCAGCTGTGGCTCCCGAAGACAACCACCCCCCAAGCCCAAGAGAGACCCGAGCACCAAGCTGAGCACCTCATCGGAGACAGTCAACAGCGCAGCCACCAGTAAGAGCGGGAAAGCCCCCGAGCGCTCCGAAGGTAACACACCCCTCACCCACTTCACCTAGAAAAAGATTTCAGGCAACAGGCCACTGATGAGCATCTGCCTTCCTCCCTGGTCCATCTCCCTCAGGTCCCAGAAAAGAAGAAGGGGGGGGGGGGCTATTTATTGATATGATGTCAAAAGACAAACAGATAAGGATATTTGATTTATTGGAAAGGGAAGGCAATATGTGTGTTCTTACCCCCTTAAAGCTTTACGTTATTAGAAAATTATTTTGCCTAGAAATATACATGAAATTTATAGTGTCTTGAGTTTGTAAGTATTATTGATATGACTAAAGAAGTACTATGTGATTGTTAGGATAAACTTATAATGCAGAAAAATATAAAGAAGAAAAAAAATGTAGTCGTTTTTAAAAATAATTATTTTTCACCTTTTGGTGTACTTCCTTCCAGTGAATGTGTATGTGTGTGTGTATGTATGTATATACATATATATACAAATTTCCATGTCTATATTTTTCCTCATGATGAAACACATAGATCAAATATATCTCAGCCCCTATCTATTTTATGAATATAAATTAGGTCAGGCTACCCCCAGATCTGTTCAGCTGTTAAGTCCTCACTTGAGTCAACAATTCTTGGTTTTCCTGAGTTTTTCCTGAGAGTCCCTTGGTGGGGGAGTGGTCTCTAGTGTCCTTAGATGGAAGCCCATTTAGATTTTTGTATATAAGTTGTGGAAAACACTTTAAGGTTCCCAGTACTGCCAGCGGCCAGCTTGAGAGCATGGCTATACCAAGCCCTGTAGCCTTTCTCCCACCCTGTTTGTCCCTGACATTGTCCACAGCATCCCCCAGCACACCGGGTTTCACAGTGGTTTGCTGCAGAGTGGAAGCCAGGTGGTCCTTTCCTCAACTGGGCAGATTTCTTTGTCACCTAGGCTCCCCAGTCCCTCATGGAATCTCCCTCTTTTTCTGGTCTAATCTTTCCACAGACGCTCAAATCTAGTCCATGAGATGGGGTGCCCATTAGGCATGTGCTATGTTTTCCGTTACTCTCATCTCCCCTTATTGGTGCTCAAGTGACTGTTTAACCAAAAACCAAAGCTTTAGTGCATACTGAAAAATACAGATAAATGCCTAGAGATGAAGTTAACCCCTCTGTTCTACTTAGAAAATCTCCACTTATGCTCAGTGTTTCCTATTACCCAAATATGCAAAACTATATCATAAGTAGGTGTATGTGTGTGAGAGTACAGATAACATGTATGTGTATGTGTATTTACAACATTGAAATCATTGTGAATAGAGTTGTGTGCTTGTATTTTCACTTACTCTATTGTGACTATTTTTCATGGCATTCAGTTTGTTAAGAAACACCATTTTTAAGAAGAGAAGTAAATATCATAGTATTTTATTTAATCGTCACCTCCTTGATGAATACTTATTTGGTTTCAGTTTGGTTTGCTATGATGAAAAGCACAGGAAAGATTGTGTATGTCTGTGTGGCTATGTAACTATTTTTTTCTGCTGCCTTAGAGTATTTGATTTTTTTCCCTCATGATTCAAGATCATTAGTATGTCTTTTAACTTTTAACACACTGGTGCTTTTAGAAATAATTTAAGTCTTTGGTTTACTTGTTAATACACTAAAGGGCTCTGGAGCATATTAAATATTGTTCTCAGGTTTCATCTGATACTGATACATGGTCCCTTTCATTTCTCTTTGTTTTCTATGGTCTGGTTTCCAGAGGTTACCTTTCTCTTGCTTTTCTTGCCAAAAAACTATATCATCAATTACATTAGGTTATTTGCAAAAGAAGTTTACTGATTTAGAAGAGAGGTCTCTGAATGAAGAGTGCCTGAACATAATCTAGAATTATCTACACTAATAAAAGACAAACATGCAAAGTGACCATACCTTTGCTACACCTTAAGCCACACCCACCAGCCAATCAGAGTGGCTATATGCAAATTAACCCAACCAAGATGGTGGCCGGCAGCCACAGAGCTGGAGCAAGCAGGAGGCTTGGTTACCCCAATGATGCCTGCCGCCGCCAGCTCTGAGCTCCACTCAAAGCAACAAAGTTTCAATTATAGGGGAGACGGGAAATAAATCCCAGAATAAAAACAAGAAAAAAAGGAGTGGCTGGGAGCTTCCATCACCGGGGAGGCTTGGCCAACCTGAAAACGGCCCTCAGCCCCTCACCCAGACTGGCCAGGCACCCCGGGGGGG